AACTGAATGTACAGAAGACGACAAAATGAACAATGATTATCAGCACACCTTGCACCTAAAATTTCATCTAATATAAAATTACGCATACAGAAGACATTTTTCTTTCAGCTGAAAATACACTGAATAAAATACAACTCAACTGTTGTTGTTGTTGTTGTTTTTTTCTTTTTAACAGACCTGCAAACTCGTCAGCAAAAAAAGGTGACAATGACAGTTGTCATGACACTGAAATAACAAAAGAACCACAGAGAGACATTACGTTACTGAAAAACTCTTCTTAGCCTGGACAAGGGTTTCACAAGCTCTCTTTCGTTGTTTGGCCAAATGCCTCCTTCTGGCCAGAACCTCCTCTTCTGCCTTGGTTTTTCTGGCTGCGTCAGCGCTTGTGGATGGCTGACAGTCGAAAATTCTCCGTCTTTCCATCTCCTGCAAGGTTTTCTGCTTTCTTAAGGCTTTGTTCTTGCTTCCAGCTGACAGGATGTTTTGGCACATCTTTGATCTACCAGCCCATACAGTACATAATGTCTTTTCTGTTAAACATCTCTATTGCACTCTGCTTTCAGGTCAGCATGGTGTGTTTGATGGTTTGGATGGCACTAAGAGCGTTGATGGTCATGTTGCCACTTTGAGTTGATGATTTCTGTCATGTAACTAAAAGCTGACTCTACCTGTGGCCCATGGAAAACTGACAATTCTACCTGTACCGTTTTGTTGAGTGCTGGATATCTTCCTGTTTCAAAGACATCTGCCCACCAGCTGACAACATCATCTCCATCTGTGAACTTTGGTAGGCTCTGGTCTACACCATACTGTAAAATCTGACATAAGATAAGAACCATTTAATTATTCCACAAGGGACATTTAGCTAAGAAAAATACACCAACAGTAAATATCAAAAGCATCCACACAAGACTCAAACAAATATTACACACTAACATTATGTACATTATTCAGCTAACCTCTTGCTGAACATCAACATCAGCAGGGAGAAGAGAGTTTAACATCTCCATCAGTTTTCTCAGCAAACGTCACTTGGAGTGCCCCCTTGCAATAGGGTCAAGAGCAGACAGGCATTGCAGGGTCATACTATCCAGTGTCAGCTTGCTCTGTAGGTATTCCCCACATGAGATGTATCCCTGGAGTACTTGGTCCAGGAAGGGCTTCAGCAGCTGTATAAATATTATTAACAATAACACACTGGTATAAAGTGCTCCTTTATCATTGGCAAATGGCTTGTGTCCAAAGGTTAGGTAACTACATTTTAATCCACTCACATGGTGCTTTGGATATCAAAACTCTAATTTGATAGATATTCCCATTAATTTGGCCACATTACCCAGCCTACATTACAACTCCAGTGGATTGATTGATTGATAGCATTTATATAGCACCTTTCAAGATACCCAAAGCACTTTACAGTTCATTATTCAGTCACTCCACACTCTGTGGTGGTAAGCTACTACTGTAGCCACAGCTGCCCTGGGGCAGACTGACGGAAGCGAGGCTGTCAATCTGCGCCATCGGCCCCTCCAACCACCACCACTCACGCTCACACCACTTTTATACTAGGCAATGTGGGAGAAGTGTCTTGCCTAAGGACACAATGACAGTTTTTGCCACTGGCGCCCCACTGTGGCACCTGGAATTCCTCGTGGTCTCCCATCCAAGTACTACCCAGGCCCAGCCTGCTTAGCTTCTGAGAGCTGACAGGATCAGGCTTTTACAAGCCAGTATGGCCACATGGGATTGATTTACCTTTCCCACCAAGGTCCTTATGAAAAGACTGAATGCGTCTCTGGGCTATTTTATTCACATGATGAGCAGCAGCGTAGAGTTGTTCCAAAGGTTCTTTGTACAAAGCCTTTTCTTCATCCATGAACCCAAAGAAAAGGACCTTGTAAGCAGGAAGCATGGTTTAAGTGCTGAGTCCAACATCATAAGATGACAGCCAATGTGTGGGACAAATCTCTTTGGAGTTGATCCAGGAATGCTCATGTATTCACAGATCTATTGGAGGTAAGCCCACTGACTAACAGAAAGAACACATATCTCAAGTTAAGACTCAGTCCCTTATAATATCCATGATATCATATGGAGGACAAGATCAGAAGAGTATAATAATAGGGCCATCAAATGGCCATCAAATGACCAAACTGTTAGCGGTTCCAATCCTGTCTCCTGCTGCCCACATGCCAAAATGTCCTTGGGCAAGAGACTGAAATCCAAATTGCTCCTAATGAGCAGGCTACCCACGCAGAAGCTGCTGCCATTGGCATGAATCGGTGAATAATAGGCCATTAAGTGCTATGAAGGTGGAAAAGAGCTATACACTCCTGTATGAATTTATGTGGTCAGAGGCCCACTTGTGATCAGCATGAAGGTCACCGAAGAGCTGTTCTAGATGAACATTGAAAGCACTGGAAAATCTCTTGGCCGCATTATGCATGTGATGGCATGAGTCCATGTCAATATCTAGAAGCTCTGGGCAATGGTTGCATTGAACACTAGTTTCTAGGCCAGTCTTGCTGCCTCGCATTACTGCATAGGAATCCATCACCATGCTCACCAAGTTGGGCCACGGGAAATTGTTGTCCATGAAAAAATTGTCCAAGGCTTTCTTCAGGTTTGCTGCAGTTACTGTAACAACTTCANTTTGCTTGTAGTCATTAATAGAATTGAAATCCCAAATTTGGTACAAATCCGACAATGTTGACATTTCATGTGTATGGTAGGGGGCGCTATAGTGTTCACTTTTGTTATTTTCCCCCTTCTTTATGTAACGAACTGAAGTTTCATTTATTCCGTAATGGAGCCAAGAGCGCAGAGAACTGCACGGATCCATTTTTGGAGACCCACAGTACAACACCGCACCCGCCAGTACAGGACCGCACCTGCCCGTTAACCCGAGATTATATCAAACTTTTGCACTGCCTACGACACGGACTGAACTAAGACTAAACCAGGACTAAACCAGGACTGATTCCAGGACTGAGGAGGAGGACTAATCCATGACTAAACAAATGTGGTCATCTCAGCTTCAGAAGGTGCACTGAAGGATATCTCTGTACAGGATTCCTGCTCTCTCGGCCTGTTGTATTTGCGTGGAGCCTCTTGACATCATAATGCTTTTTTATCTGTATTGTTTTGGTTGTGTACTATATGTTTGTAGTAGTTAGATTTAATTTAAATTACAAATGCATTTCATTGTCAGATGTATGTTTAAAGACAGCGCAACTTTACTAGACTGCGTGAGTCATTTTAGTATGAATAATTGAATATTTAGGTTGACATTCTTAAACAAAACAAGCCATTTTAGAGAATATAGCAATTATGTACCTAATTTCCATTTTTAAATGCAATATAACAGAGATATGATACATATACTATGGGACAGAGTTACATTATTAATTCCCCACTGTCACTGCCACAGCCCATAGAAATACAAAGAAGGAAGCCATATTAATTAGAAAAGTAGAATTTACTTTGGGAACAATGAAGTATCTATCCATCTAAAGGTTCTTCAGATGTGATTTGAAATGACAGAAATGGATGTGGTCCCATCATGGCTGTTGTGACAGTCAGATGCAAAGCTATTGACTGTACTTTCTTACTCAATGATTTTATTTTTATAAACAGCAAAACAGGAAAAAAGATAATTCTTGTTTGCTGTATAAAAACTCACCCTTACGAACCAGATAATCTTACACCCTGTCAATCATCATGTCATCTTTGCACTGTTTCTCCTTATAACCTTTGTATATAGCTACAGGGATATATTTGTATGACTACATTTATATATTTATGTCTTATTTTACAACAGTGTCTTGCTATGTTTGCTATTTATTTAGAATTTATTATTAATATTTTATATATTTTTTGTCTTTATTCTTTTAATATCTTCTGATGTGTGATGTGAGCTACTGTTTCCAAAACAATCAATCAAGTTTGTCAAAATCTGAATGTGATGCTTAAAAGGTTATGGTAATTAAAACTTCACAATAAACATATATATCGGTAATAATGATCTTTAAACTAACAAAACAGGTTATTTTATTTATATAAAATTTTATTTTATTTTTACCGAGAAAGTAACTGTTAAGTGTTAAGAGTAGTGTACGTTAGTAACCACTTGAGGGCGCACCACAGCAGCTCTATGTATTTACTGTGGTGAAACTTGTTATAAAACATTAAAATTCAAACCGACACTATTGTATAAAATATATACATAGTGGCTGATGATATAAAACCTAAAATATGTGGGAAAATGAAAAACGTTTCGGTGGACCTCTAACTGTATTGATTGTAATTGCTGATCGCTCAGTGGCCTGTCCCAGTATTGCAGCCATTCCGTCAGAACGCGCTACATTGAGTGGCGCGGCTTCTATGTATTTCTATGTTCGCGGCTATTTTGAACAGGAAAGCGCGACTGTAATTGGTTGGAGAGAGACGCACTTTTGAAATGGACGTGTCTGATTGGTCCACTCCTTCTCTATAAATACAATCAAGGTCTCCCGCTCGTTGACAGACTTCGTGCGCTGTCACCACTGCTGCTCGGAGGTGTTTCACTGCTGCTCGGAGTCACCACTGCTGCTCGGAGGTGTTTCACTGCTGTGATACCTTGAGTCGCCTTTTTCGCCCACCTTTTGGATCATCGGATCGGATAAACTTTTTATCTGGTTTGGTTGTCCACCCTACTTCTTGCTCGGCATTTTTCTTCTCTGAAGAAGGCTAGTGAGATTTACATCGACCTCGCTCTTCTACTTTGAAGGTAAGTGCTGTTTAAAACGTAGAGCTGCTATTGTTTGTGTAGAAATGATTCGTTATAGCTGTTTATATGTTCAAATACAACCAGAAACGCGTAGGTTTGAGTTAACTTTTCACTGGCTTAGTCCTGGTTTAGTTCCCGGTCCTGATTCAATTCTTGTTTAGGTGTGGTTTAGTACTTGTTCAGACTTGGTTTAGTCCGGATCAGCTCGCGAAATATACCAGTTAACACGAGCATGGCTAAGCCAATAGCTCTGGCTAAACGGTCGTTCTGCGCGCAGCCCGCGCACCTGAGTGCCCGCGCCCTTACGTGCCCGCGCAGCCCGCGCCTTTGCGTGCCCGCGCAGCCCGCGTGCCCATGCGCATGCGCGCTGCCCGCTCACACAGCGTAGTCCATATCTAGCCACAGTTTGTGGTGTTGGCGTAAAACTGATAACGTGAGCGAAACTCCTGGGGCCTCATTTATAAATCTTGCTTACGTAAAAATCCGTGCGTACGCGCTCTCTACGCCAACCGCGGTATTTATAAAACTCGCCTAAGGCGTGGCTCTTTGCTTAACTCTACGCCAACTCGGTGCCTCCTGTAAGTTCTACGCAAAGTCTGGAGACACGGGGAAAAAGCGACACTCGTGGAGAGAAGCAGAAGTGAACAGAGTTTGAGGAAGTGTTTGATCAGAAAATCCACATATATAGAAGAATTACTTTCTGATTTGTGCATTTAAATGTTTGGTTCGCCAAAATACGGAGAAGGGCTGTTTATTCCACTCATTATTCTCGTGAAACTCGTGCACGAGCGCGAGCACGTTCCCGGACCCGGTGTAGCGCAGAGTCCCACAGTCCACACCGCGACCATAGACTTCTATAGAACACAGTCTGTGACCAACACAGAGGACGAAATAATGAGAAGTCTATGGTCGCGGTGTGGACTGTGGGACTCTGCGCTACACCGGGTCCGGGAACGTGGCCGCGCTCGTGCACGAGTTTTCAAATGTTATAATATTGTGGAGAATAATGAGTGGAATAAACAGCTCTTCTCCGTGTTTTGGCGAACCAAACATTTAAATGCGCAAATCTGAAGGTAATTCTAAATGTATACGTGGATTTTCTGATCAAACACTTCCTCAAACTCTGTTCACTTCTGCTTCTCTCCACGAGTGTCGCTTTTTCCCCGTGTCTCCAGACTTTGCGTAGAACTTACAGGAGGTTCAGAGTTGGTGTAGAGTTAAGCAAAGAGCCACGCCTTAGGCGAGTTTTATAAATACCGCGGTTGGCGTAGAGAGCGCGTACGCACGGATTTTTGGGTAAGCAAGATTTATAAATGAGGCCCCAGGACTGGACCAGGACCATCAATATCTTTCTTGTTGGTCCTGGTAAAAGCGTAATTCGTAAATAATATTATGTAGAAAATATATCCATTGAGGAGTGCACTGGCTATAATCTTTGTCTTCCTTTGTGGGTAAAGGCTAAAGAAAAAGTGAAACTTAAGTGTCAGTCCAGTTGAGTATCAGCTGTGCGCTTTAGTTGATTTGCATGCACATTTGTTTGGAGTTATAAGTGAAGAATATATTGTATAATTATATTTATTACTATATTAATTAATAAGTAATCAATGAAAACGTGTCCAAAAGGTCCTAGTTTGGTCATGGTTTAGTTTCACACTGGCCACATATTTTTTGTGGATTTAAAGGTGCTCTGTTTTCTCATAAAATATGCTATACGAATTTTTTTTTAAAGTAAATGGCAATAAGTGAAGTAATGTACTGTGATGTATTGTGTTCCTGATTTAGGCCTGTTCTTTGTTTATTCCTGGTTTAGATTTACTCCTACTTTAGTCCTGGTTTGGATCTTGTTTAGTCCTAGTTTATTTGTGGTTTATGTTTGTGTATGTGTTGTGCAAAGTGTAATCTTATTTTGACTTGCATCTTTTATGCATGTAGTTTAGTCCTGGTCTTCTAGTTGTGGTTCTAGTACTGATGTTAGTAAAACATGGTATAAAGTCACATTTTAGTTTTGGTGTAGTTCTGGTCCTTAGTTTAGTTTTGATTTAGTCCTAATTATTTGTTAATTCTAGTCCTGGCTCTCATTTACTACTGCTTTATTATAAGTGTAAGTATTTTTGGTGCATTCCTGACTTAGTTCTGGGTTAGTTCCAGTTTAGTTATATAAAGTTGTATAGTTAAAGGTTGTAATACGTTAGTCTTACTCCTTTCTTGTGAATAATGTTTACACCAGTGATTGTTGCTTTTAACATTTCATGTGTGTGTTTTCAGATGCCTCGGCCAAAGGGATTCAAGCGCTCTTTGGCTGCTCAGCAGCGACGACAGGAGCAGCTCTTGGCCGCTGCCCGCCGTCGCTCCCCCAGCCCTGAACCTACTGTTTGTATGTTTACATTTCTTATTCTACACATTTTTACCCGCCTCTATGAACTTGTCTCATAGTAATTTCTTTTTAGGCTATGGCACTGGTTCTCGGCATTCTGTGCGTAAGCAGAACTGGGAGGTTTCGCAAGTCACTGGAAAACCTTACAAGCAGAAATTTCCAGACGAGTGTCCTGACAAGAAGGTGTGTTTATTGGTATAAATTGGTGGTTTTCAGATTCTAAAATGACATTTCATGCTAATAAAGGGTTAATAAAGGGGTTCTTAAAGGCACTAGACCCTACAACATGCTATATAACAGAAATTATAGCAGTATATTTATTGTAGCTGCTCAATCTGTATTGAATATTATTGGTCCGTAGAATATTGTGATGTCATCTGAAACATTCACTAAGAATGAATCAAAGGCATTTGTTGTAGAATATTAAAGGTGTACTGTTCTGGTTAGAAGGGGGAAAGGGTGCTTGTCTCTGTCTTGCTTTGTCTGGAATGTTCTGCAGTATAGCAGTAAACATGTCTATTTAGCATTGATATAATTGAGAGTGTAATTATTAAAAAAGAAAAACACACATTTTAAATACATACAGTCTTACTGGGAGAGGGGTCTCCTCTCCACTTAGAAAGATCAGAAATGCTTCATGTCATACTGTAGCATATTCCCAGAAAAACAATAGCATCTCTTTAGAGACAAGCAGGTAATGGGCCTTCCAACAGAAGGAGTGCACTTTTTTAAAGACTTTTTGTTTTGTTGTATCTAGTTTGTTCTGATTGCCGGGCACTCGCATTTACGTGCACTTGTTGATGGGATCGTGCCGATGCCAGAGGGATGTCTGTCCTTTGGCTTCAGCTCGACTCCTGGGGGTTCTGCCTGGGACATCCAGAGGCAGTTGGCTGTGGCCAAGATTCCCAGAGGTGAGCTAATAATGAAAACATTGTATTTTAGAACCTGTAAATTAGACTATGAATCTAAATGTTTAAAGGTGACCTATGTAACATTTTTGGTGCAGGATAAGACACCTGCTTGTCTTCTTAGAGGTATTATTGTGTTGCCTGGAATGTCCCACCCTGTGGCATTAAGTTAATTACCTTACATTTTTATTGCAGAAATACATCTGATTTGTACCTGGTGATGTTGCCTGCTTGTCTCTTAAAAAAGAGATGGCAATACAGAACCCAGACAAAACAAACATGTCCATGGAGACAAGCAGGAGGCACACCCTCCACCACAAATGTTACAGTGTTCTTTTTTAAAAATGAGTTTTGATTCAGCATAGTTAAGATTATTTAATTATCTTAAAACAAACATGTGAATGCATAATGCCATTTTGTGGATTATATCAATTTCCATGTGTTCAAATTATCCCGTGGGTATTAAAGTTATTTTATTTTATTTTAATAGAGCCTGCTCTGGTCTGTCTACTCTCCCCTTGTAACAATTTGCACGCCAGCACTACGATTGATGAGGCTGCAGCTGAGTTCGGCCGACTCCTGGCCTATGTCTGCGGCCGCTGGCAGAGGGTATTTTTTTTAATACTATTATTATTTTGCTTGGTTTGATATTTCACAGTATATTAACATGATAATGTTTCACATAGGTCATTGTCATGGATTTTCCAAATCGTCTTGCGGATGATTTGTATCTCCAGACTCTCTTGAGACAGGAGTTTCACCGCGTCTCGGCTCGCATGGGTACTTTAGTGTTTGGTTTTGATACTTTAGAACCCTCTCTTTATATTTAATACAATTAATGATATCCTTATGTTTTCAAAGGAATCCGCTTTTTCCCTGTGGCTGAGCATTTCCCGATGGATCGCCTGGAGCTGTGGAGCAGAGACGGCGTAAGTATAATGTTATTATTTCTGAATTAATGTTTGGCTATGCACCACCTGTGTGTCAGCTTTAACAGTGTCACATTCAACACATTTTCAAAATAAGATGAGATTAAATCTACCTCATCCCCTCCCTAATGGATTTTAAAAAAAAAAATCTTTCACACTTTTGCCAATCACACAATCTCAAAACTACTAACTAAACTTAGGAAAGGTAGTTTTGCACTGGCGAGTTGTGTCGTCAGTGCAAAAGTTAGTTCAGCATAACCTTGCTAAATTTTATGTTTATGTTTCAGGTCCATCTGAGCGACAACCATGGGATGGGGATCTTGGCTCAGCTCCTGTGGCAGGCTTGCTACACGGAGCTAGAGAGGCAGACACCTGCCCCCACCGCCCCCGGTGTCTCCTCCCCCATCCCGCGTCGCCACCAGAAGGGTTAAGCCAAAAGTGGTCGTGACCGGATCTTTGCCCGTACCACGCCCACGCCCTACTGATGACGAAGGATACACCATGGTTGAACCAGGCAGAAAGGTAACAGTGACACAGTGTATAAACTGATATGGTTTATCAATTGTGCTTTGCTGCAGATCAGTTGCCATTGAATTGTCCAAACATTTAAAACTGCGGCAGCTGTTCTATTCAGTAGAAAGTGATGTCACTGAAAATATTGATAGAGTTTGTGTGAAGTCACATAAAGTTTTCCATTTAAAACTCAGAAACTCAAAACTTAATTTTTCTTTTATCAAGCTCAGCTAAATTTCATCTTGCTGCAACACTTGACTATTCTATAGATGCAATTGCCTAATAGACTAATAACCAGATAAACTGTGTGGTCAGTACTGGTAAAAATTTACTCCAAAAAATACTCCAATTTTGTGAGACATGCTAGACAAAATAGTATCATTAACATGCAGAAAATTTCACACCTCAACCAGAAAACCAGTATAGTGTACCTTTTAAATTTTAAACTACACATAATTGAGTGGTGTTTTATGAGATGTTTTCAGACATAAATTGTCAATATTTTGAACATTATACAATACTTGGATATATGAAAAGCTACAAATATTTAGTTAGAACTCTTTAATGGCCACTGTAAATCACAACAGTTTCAGTGTCCCAATATTTTGTGTGGAGGCAACTCCTTATTTCTGTAATTTGGTTCAAATGGTCTTTGTTCCATAGACTCTGTAGCTTTAAAGATATACTTTAAGTTTACTGGTGAAGTGTCCATCACTTGTTGTTTTGATTTACCTGGAATGTTCTCAGCATAATCTGATCCATTTTTCATTCTATTCTGGATGTCTTATTCCCAAAGAAACTGGTCTGGTGATGTTAACTGCTTGTCTCCATTCCATTTCATGGCTGATACCGTTACTGATGGTTTAGACCTCAGAGAGACCAATGTGTGGTGCTAGGGATTTAAGGAGGATCTCTACATTATTTACATTATCTCTACATTTTGAATGCAATTTCAATTTAGAATGTTATGACATTGTGTGAACAGAACCTCTTATTACATATTATTCAGGTTTTATTAATTTGATTTTTCACAGAAGAACCAGAGCTCTCCTGTGGGACTCCAGGCAGGACTGGTTGATGTGAGTTTAAGACATGACACTAGTCACATAGTCCTAATCAAATTATATAGTGCATAATATAAACATTTTTGATCCATGTGCACAGGTGGTTTGTCCACATACTTCTCCTCTGTGCTGTTCTGTGCTGTTCAGCCCCGCCATGTTGGTTGAGATGGACAAGATCTCTCCATCCAACCTTGATTCTTTTCCTAAGGAAAAGAAGGTATTTTTTATTGTTAAGTTGAGTCAATTATAAAAGATTCAGTGTTTGATTCTGGACTTTGTAAAGAAACCACTGTTTTCTTTTTGAAAGACGTCTGAGGCAAGACGTCCCAAAGCTGTTGCCCGTAAACGCCGGCCGCAGGCAGTGGTCAAGGCAACGGCTGGGGAGGTGAGCACTGCCTGCTCACCTTCCAGCTCAACACCCGGGGAGGTGGAGCACAAGGTGGGTGTAGGATTACAGATATTTTCCATGTCTGGTATATAAAACTGACTTGTGTATTGTGTTCTGTAGCCTGTTGTGGAGGTGAGGCGCCGCCCCTCTCCTTCACGCTCCTCTCCTGGTCCGGAGGTGAGACCCTGCTCACCTGCCAGTTCCCCACCTGCATTGGAGGAGGACCAGGTCAGTGTTGTTTATGTGTTGATATGTTCATGCCAAATGTGTGATTTTACTCATCAATCATGCTTATATTGCATAGGCGGCTGTGGAGGTGAGAAGCCCTTCCTGTCCTCGCCACTCCTGTGCAGACGTGGTGAAAGTTACTACACCCGTCATCTCCACATCCAGGATGGCACGGAAACGCTCTACACGTGCCAGCTCCACATCCGGGATGGAGGAGAATGTCTCGCGAGAGACAATAAAACCACCTTCCTCAAAGCGTCGATGCTCCCAGCGACAGGTGAGCTTGTTTTGTCTTTCCACAGCATTTGTCCTGTTTTATTAAAAATGGGTGACTAATACTAAATTTTCTTTACAAAGCCTAAGGGAGCATCTACATTGAAGGTGAGACCTGTGTCAACTCCTGTTTCCCTGTCTGAGATGGAACTGGATGAGGTATGAGCTAGTTTATATATTGGAGTTATGTCATGTGTCTGTGATTGTCATTTGTCTTTGACTGACTGAATATGGGCTTCTGTATACATGTTTTTTGTAGTGTGTAGAGGTCGAAGTGACTCCAGGAACGTCACTTAGCAGTTCCAAAGACCAGATGGGGATGTTGACAGACCAGGTGAGTGAACCGTCTCAAAAAATATATTTATAGGGTATTTTAGCAGGTAAGTCAGGTGAGAACGGCTTCTCCTTTACAATGATGACCTGGGACCTATGTAGCATGTTTTGGGTGGCTGGGATTGATGAATATAAATAAATATATAGCAGATAAATGAAAAGAAGTTACAGTATGAAGCCACGCTAATATTAATACACTGTCTTTGCATCTTGTAGACCTGCCCTTCTCCTGCCACCTGTCTGCCGCCTTCTTCTCCACTCTCTCCACTCAGCCCTCCTCATCTGACCAGCCCTCCCTGTTCTTCTGTGACCAGTCAGCCTTCTCCGCTCAGCCTTCCATCAGCTGTCCAAGAGGAGAGTGCTTCAGACAAAGGAGAGAAAGATAAGTCTTGTTGTGCACAATCTGATGTAGTACCTGTTAGTGTTAGGGAAAGTCTTCCTTCTGCAATTAGGGGTAGTTTTCATCAGGGCGATAGTCGGTTCTTGTATGGTGGTGTACAGTGCATGGCAATTTCTCTGGTGGCTTTAGCTAAGCATACGGAGTTGAATGTGTTTTCGTGGGATCAGAGGCAGTTAGACAGGGTTTTGATTCTTGGGGATGCACTGTACACAGAGCGTCGGAATAAGGGCTCGATTAGTGGGGATAGGTATTTACTTGTTACAGAGTTACCAACCGAGTCTGTTATAGATGGGCAGCAGTTTAGATTTTCTTTCAGTGAGCCACGTAATGGAGCTGCAAATGTGGTAGAGCACGAGTTTATTGAGGAAGGCGCGTGGGTGACGTTAGATGGTGGTTTAGAACAGTTGTTGGCACAGTACGACACATGTCTTATGACACTCTGTGGTAGTACTTGTGCAGTTATTAAAAGCAATGGTCGGTATGCCGTGGTAGATTCTCACTCGCGTAGTGCTGAAGGGTTGGTAGATGCTGATGGCAAAAGTGTGGTTGTGTATTTTAATAGCATAGATGAGCTGTATAGTTATTTTTGTGCGTTGGCTGCATGTTATGGCGCTTGTGATGAGGATAGTGATGATGTGTCTTTTAAAGAGTTTGAGATTACTGGTGTTAATGTTGTTGTAGCAGAGGATACTCTGAGGGGCTTAAAGCGCCAAAAGGCCACAGATGTTTCTTCTTCTGTGCCCCTAAACACGCTTAAAAAGACAAAGCAGGACACTGACATAAACTTGGATGTGCTGTGCACTAGTGTTCAAGAGAATGCCTTGTCCTTCAATCCACTTACTGAAAGTGATTGTAAGCACTTGTGCAAACACATTAAGGCCGAGTTTCAGAAGGTTGGTGTAGCAGATCCTAAAACTGTAGGTCCATTAGGCGCACCGTGTCACAAAGACAAAATTGTTGCGGACGGTAATTGTTTCTTTCGTGCGATTTCGCAGGCCATTAGTGGCACACAAAAAAATCATAGGAAAATTAGACTTGCGATTGTGAAACACCTTTTAAATAATCCTTTAAAATATAACACACTATTGCGCGATGGTTATTTGTCTGTAGAAGACTATATCAGCGCGTCGAACATGCGTAAAGTTGGAACAGTTGGGCCACTGAAGTAGAAATTCACGCCGCCGCGGATTATTTAGGCATCAATGTATTTACATTTTATAATGGACATTGGCTTAAATATGGTTGTACTACCAAGCCTTTGTCATCCAGTGGCATCTATCTAGAAAATATTAACAGTCATTACGAAAATGTAACTTGCGTCAAAATACCAAATGCTAATGGTTGTTATGAATGCTGCCAGATGAATCATTTATTAGTGGAGGGCTATAATATTAGGTCTAAAAGTTTAGCTGTGAAATCACAGGTTAATGTAGATAATGAAATTCGTGTAAAGTCTGTATCAAAATATATACAAAAGAAAAAACAGGCTGCCAGCAAACATTCATATAGAATGAATGAATTGTATAGAAAGAAAGTTAAAGCTGCTAGTATTAACAAATTAAGAAATATAGAGATAATTTAAGTTTTCAAAATAAAGTTAAAGCAGCTGGTATTGGTAAGTATAGACATAATTTAAAGTATCAAAATAGACTTAAAGCAGCTAGTATTAATAAATATAGACTTAATTTAAATCATCAAAATAAGCTTAAAGCGGCTAGTATTAATAAATATAGACTTAATTTAAATCATCAAAATAAGCTTAAAGCGCTAGTATTAATAAATATAGACTTAATTTAAATTATCAAAATAGACTTAAAGCAGCTAGTATTCAATAAATATAAAGTTAATCTACAACATAAACAAAATGTTAAGGCAGCAAGTAAACTTAAGTATAAAGTAAATCCCCAACATAAACAGAAAGTAAAAGCATTTGGCAAACAAAAATACCATAATAATGAAGAATTTAAAAATAGGACCCGGGCAGCATTCAGGAACAAGCAAAAGCAATTGAAACAAAAATTGGAAAACTTCACTTTTGTCATGGAACAGTTTTTAAAGGAAAGTGAAGATGGTCCGGAATACATTTGCTGCGTGTGTCTAAAACTGTTATTTAAAAACCAGGTCTTACCTTGTAGAAAGGAAGACTTTATGGCTAAACCAAAATGCGCGAATGTAGCTAATGCGTGTATCTCAGAGGCCTATTTACATGCGTGTGATTCATAATTGTCCGTCGCCATGCCCACTGTTCAGTTGTAGAGGTAGATTTATGGACCTGCTACACTTGCAATTCTAAACTTTGTAAAGGTCAAATTCCACCTGAGTGTTCAGTTAATAATTTACAATTGGACGATATTCCACCTGAACTCGCCTGCTTGAACACTGTTGAACAGCATATAGTTGCACTTAATATTAATTTTATGCAAGTTTTAGCTTTACCAAAGGGATTTCAGAGAGGCATTCATGGGCCAGTAACGTGTATACCGTCGAGAGTTTCTGACTCAGTTCGGTTGTTGCCGCGTAGTAATATGGACGGTTGTTTGTTGCCCGTTAAACTTAAGCGTAAACTTACTTATAAGGGACATTATGAGTATCAGTATGTAGACACAGCGCGTGTACGGAGGGCCATTGCGTTTCTTAAACAAAACAACCAGTATTATTTTGATATTGATTTTAATGAAGAGTGGGTAAACGAGTTTGCCAGGGAAGAAGAGGAAACTGTAGATACAGGTGCAGAAGTTAATGTAGAAACAGAAAAGCAGGAAGAAGATTTAGATGATGAGCTTCTCCATGATAGACAGCGTCACTGTATGTACCAGGATACTTGTTTCATGCCGGTCGATATCGCTCAGGAAGCGCTGGATCATTATTTTGAGGGTGTTTTAAATTTGGCTCCAGCTGAGGGGAATAGTCCGGTTAGTTTATTAACTGATAAAGAAAATGAGGCTAAATGTTTTCCCAGGGAGTTTCCATATGGTCGTAATACATTTCATAGTCCTCGGCCTATTCGTTTGACCATGTGCAGGTATTTTATTAACAGGCTTTTGCACGTGGATGGTAGATTTTCACAAAATTTTAAGTTTCTTTTCATGGCATTTGTACATGTTAGAAGTTCAACAGGTAGTTTCAAAAGTGTCGATAGCTTGCGAAAGGGGCATTCTGGTCCCAGTAATGCTGCTGCAGGTGAAGCAACTTTAGAAAATTTGTTACAGTATGATAATGGCTATCGTTTTTTGCAGCCTATTAGAGGGACACCGCCCTTCTGGCAGTCTGCACAAAAAGATTTGTTTGCGTGTATTCGGCAGCTTGGTATTCCGACATGGTTTTGTTCGTTTAGTTCCGCTGATCTCCGCTGGTCATGCCTTCTTAAAACGCTCTTAAAGCAGGAAGGTAGTACTCGGAGTGTTAAAGATTTAGATTGGGCTGAGAGATGTGACCTTTTGCGTCGTCACCCTGTAACTGCGGCTCGGATGTTTGATGCTCGTTGGCATCGTTTTTTGCGTAAAGTTATTCTGTCCCCAGCTCAGCCCATTGGTAAAGTGATAGATTATTTTTATCGCGTAGAATTCCAGCAGCGTGGATCACCCCATGTCCACTGTCTGTTTTGGATAGAAAATGCACCAAAGCTCGGCGTAAATAAAGATGAAGAGGTAGTTCAATTTGTTGATAAATATGTTACCTGTGAAATACCCTCGGATCTGGATTTATTGGAAAAAGTTGCTTCGGTGCAGCAGCATTCTAAGCGTCACTCAAAAACTTGTAGAAAAAATAACAAAGTGTGTCGTTTTAACTTCCCGCGTCCGGTATCAGCGCGTACGTTTATTAAACATAAGGACCCAGAATCTGAGCCTATTGTTAAGAAGGAGGAGGCTCAATTAATTATGAGCGCGCTGAAGAATGCTGTTCTTGATGAAAATAACCTGTGTGTTAGTCCTGAAGAGTTGTTTGCGTCACTGGGGTTAACACAGTCCACATTCGAACAGGTGTACAGCGTTTTAGACGGACACACACACATAGTTTTAAAAAGGGAGGTTAGAGAAGCCTTTATAAATAACTACAACGAGAAATTATTAGCTTGCTGGAATGCCAACATGGACATTCAGTTCGTTGTAGATGCGTGGGCGTGCGTCGTATATATTATTTCGTATATTTCTAAAGCTGAGAGAGAGATGGGTTTACTTTTAAGTAATGCACAAAAAGAAGCTTCCAATGGTAATGTTAGTGCAAAAGAGGCATTTAAAAAGTTAGGCAGCGTTTATCTTCATAATCGTGATGTCTCTGCGCAGGAAGCTGTGTATCGCGTAACAAACATGCACTTAAAGGAGTTTTCGCGTAAAGTTACTTTTTGTCCCCACTGGTGATAATATAGTGCGTATGAGTAAGACCAATTGGCGAAATAGATGATAAAATGGGGGACGATATTTGGATGACAAACAGTATTGATAGATACTTGAGTAGACCAAATGACAGCACATTTAATGACATGTGCATTGCGACATTCGTATCCGAATATCGCTTACTTGGTCCGTCTGATAAATGTAAAAAATCCAATTCTTTTACAAAATAGATTAGGCGCGATTACCAAACGAACACGACCAAGCCCGCGTTGTTAGATATGCGCGATTTTCTGAGACTAAAAACACAGAGTTATTTTATCAAAGTATTCTTCAGTTATTCTTTCCGTATCGCGTTGAGCTGATCCTTAAGCCGCCTCCATTTGAAACATTTGAACAGTTCTACAAAACTGGTGATGTGCGTTTGAGTGACGGATCGGTTAATTTGGTTAAGTCGATTGTTGATTCAAATAGG